TTGAGAATCGTAATGTGAACCAAGACGGTTCTGTTTCAGCTTAAAAAGTTTGAGCTAACAGACGTAATAAGCTTCTGGCTCCTGCGAAAATAGTAAGTTTTGAAACGCACCATCTACGAGTACAATATATACGTGTAGCTAGGATAGGGCTGCTGTGAAATTGACAAAGGCGGCCCATCAGTTGGACACTCAAGAAACTGTGCATCGTAAAGCGAAGTCCGAGATGTAGCCGCACGAACATGTCAGTTTGTATACCGATATGGGCAAAATGTGCTTGATATCTGTATCGCTTTTCGATGTTAAAACGCTCAGCACATGGAGAAAATGTTCGCTTCGACCATGCCGCTGGCCGTATCTGTACAGAAACAACCTGTGAATCTTTACACAGCCGGTGTACCAGTATACACAAACCTGTCATGTTCCAGTATTGTCGAATATCGACAACTCGTGACGGCATTGGTGCAGTAATTCCTTGGTCGAAATGCCACCAGAAATTAACTACTCTATTGATAGTTGATGCGCTGTGCTGATCGATAGCCGCTTTATTTTGCAACCGCCAGGCGATCGAACATGGCCGCGAAATCGCAACTATCCCGTCTTGTAAAGCCAAAACATGGTTTAATTTGGAAACTGACCGTGGCCTGGATGACGCTTTTGCAGTTGTGTGGTTTTGTTTTCTCGCCTTCGGGAAAAGGCTGCCGCTGGACAGTGTCTGTGCGCTGCTTGTCGTATATATACTTTGCGCTGCTACTTCCTCGCCTGTGCTGTTTGCCTAAATGACGGTTTCGTGTGGGATTATCCTACCCTGTCCAATTGGTTCACTTTCCAGATCATGCAGCTACTTAACGCAACGGAAGTTGTTGTGGACATTCTGTCCATAATCCTTGTATGGTTGTCCAGTAGAAAAATCATGCATCTGATGAACACGCTCGATGAAATTTACTGCGTCTCTATCGCCGGGAGAAGGTTGCACGTTATAGTCGTCGGTGTGGTGTTCTTTATTTTGATCTTCGCAATGAAAGACACTTATCGGCTTTACATGGAACAGTCTGGCCCTTCGACAGCGGAGAGTATTGATGCTTTTCACAAACGCTATTTGCCCAACCAGTCGCGTGACCTCGCTGAATGGCTGTACCGCATTTACAGCGTTTTCAATCGCATGCTCATCGTGGGACGCCAATGTCTCGTCGGGTTTATGGTGACCATTATATTGCTGACCGCTGAAGCCGTTCGTGCTGCTGCAGTTAACCTAGACACGCAATTAATACGAAATGGTGCCGCTGCTGTTGATGAGTATTCCAAGCAGGCGCACTTGACCACGCTTGTTCGCGGGTTGGATGAATGTCTGTCGCCGATCGCTGGGCTTCAGTGCTACGCTGCCTTAGCCGGCACAATCGTCTTCACCTTTCGCTGCAGTCAGTCCAGTATCGGCCAACAGCCCCCTTCCGGAATCGTCATCGTATTGGTGGCATACATTTTGTGCTTGTTTAGCTTGATCGCTGCCTGCGTATACTCGAATGAACAGGCAAGTACTGGTCCACGAATGCTGCGAATCAGGAGGAAATCTCCATCAACAAACTTCTTTACGTAAGCGTAGCTGAATAATCCGTCTGTGTTGCAGGGCGAAACATTGTTTAAGATCACCAGGGTTGGTTTATCTATTGGAAAAGAGACGTGGAAAAGTGCCGAATGGAATGCCTTGTGTTATCGGAGCGAGCGTTATGGACCGGGTTGTTTTACTTTGGCCGGCGTAATGGTCACCCGGGAAAGCGCAATGCAGGTGCGCATTGCGCGGCCTTACTATTATTTCCGTCGGGCAAAAAACTGTAACGGTTTCGCTTATAGCTATGTAACAAATGCAAAGGTTACTATAAATGCCGACTATGCAGTTAGTGTTGAACGAAACCGCAATCATTGTTTTCAGCTGATTTTAGGCATGTGCCGCATTGTTAAGTACTCTTTTGGTGTTTGCCGAATTGGCCCGCGCAAGCACTAGCGGCGAAACGAGCAACTGCACAATCAGCACCACTCAGGTTTGTATGTTGTGCGGCGCAGTGATAACGGAGTACCGCATAATTTTTGTCGCCTCGAAAGTTAGTAATCGCTCGGCTTTATGTATGCACTGCAGGTCTTATAAAGCCGCTGGGGAGACAACCTAGACGTGCGGATATGACTTTGTTTGGAAAACACTTACGCATTGTGGACGCTAATCTTGCACGGCTAGCTTGGTTTTGCTAATAACATACGATTTGTATGAAACGTCAGCGAAATGTATTCGTAATGTAATGCGCCGATTTTGAAAAAGAGCTAAAGCCGGGAAGGAAACACAACGAAATGCTTCTGTCCTTAGTTACTTAGAAGTGTTTGGCTGTGGTCAGAGCAATAGTAAAAGGAATAGCAAGAGCAATTACTCTGTTAATATACTGATTATTTAGCTGGGGTACGAAAGTCACCAGCGGTGTTAGTGGCCAAACTGGAACTGAAACTAAAGTAAATAAACTGTAATAGGATAATTTACAGCTTGAAAAAGCGCAAAATGACTAAAACACGGGAAGGTAGAACAACAAATAAATTACAGTCTCCATGCGGTAGCTGCACGAAATTAAGGTAAAGATTAATTTTTAACAGATTTAATCGGTTAAAGCCGCCAGGATAGCAAAGATTGCAAGCGCCGTTACATTACTAAAATTTAATAACCAAAATTTAAACATTAAAAAAACAGCCGAAATCTCTATCGTCTCTTAGGTTAAAAGGTCACGTGCTCACAACAGCCTTGGCAGTAACAACGGTGAGACTAAAACGCTGCTTAAGGAAGCTGGGATGACGCTGATTCCTGTCCGCCAAGGGAAACTGCTGGTGTGGGATGCAACTAGCTGGTGTACATCTACGGTCGCAGAATCGCATGTCACCGGCAGCTCGAAAAAATCTGGACACGTGGCTCAGCTTGCAGAAAATGCCAAATGTCGCACATATTCGTTTTTGGAAAATGGATATTTTTCTATACTTTAGTGATTGAGACGTTGAGAGTATTTAGCCCGCTCTGAGTGAACTGTTGCATTTTATGGGCCGCAAAATTCGAGACTTAAGGGAAGTGGGTCGGTGCATGGTACCGAGTTCGTATACATGCACGCAAACTTACACTTTCGCGCACTCCCAAACACATTTTGTTTCGGTTTATGACGTTTGCAGCCAGAATTTGATACTGGCGTGAAAACCGTTTGTGCGCGAACATGTTCGCTGTTAAATTCCAAAAGTTTAAATGCGTTCAGGTGTAAACAAAGTCTCATTATAGACCGATCTCTCAAATTTTGCACGTAAATGCGCATGTCCATGAAGATCGTTTTACACCGATCCAGACTTCCATGATTTTTTCAAATTTTAAAATGAATTTTAAAATTTTGAAATTCATTTTAAAATTTGAAAACATGCTAGAACAGTGGATCGGTGTAAAAACGTTCTTCGTGGTTATGTGCATTTACGTGCAAATTTTGAGGGAGATCGGTCTATAATGAGACTTTTGTTTTACACCTGAACGCATTTAAACTTTTTGGAATTTTGTAACAGCCATAACTCCCGAACCGGATGTTGCGCGCACAAACGGTTTTCACGCCAGTGTATACAAACCTTCTGGCTACAAAACGTCATAAACCGAAACAAAAATGTGTTTGGGAGTGCGCGAAAGTGTAAGTTTTCGTGCATGTATACGAAATCGGTACCATGTACCGGCCCACTTCCCTTAACTGGAGAAGCACGTTCTACTGCTTTCCTTAAGCAGCGTTTTAGTCTCGCCCTTGCTAAAGGAAATGCCACGGACGATACCTTTTAAACCAAGAGAAGATAGAGATTTTGGTTGTTTTTTAATGTTTAAATTTCGACTATCAAGTAGGTAAATGATTGGTTCCGGATTTGGAAATTAAGAAATAGACCGGAAACAAATGAGCAAATTTATCCGCCTTTGGGAGAAAAATATCACTTTTCCTCTTTAAGTTCATCTCTGCAGTCAGTCAAGAGACAGGCAAATTTTCCATAATACCTGTAATTCATGCCATGCAGTTATAATTTTTGCACTGGGTTATGTCCTTAGTCCATCGCAATAATTACTCCGCGCAAATTGCGTGGGGTCTGCTAGTAAAAGGTAAGAGTCTAAACGGTTCTCGTATTTTACAACTGCATAATGTTTTTTTCGAATGCCGACTGTAGTGTCTTGACGAAGCTGTGCCTTAAAGTGCTGCATTATCTGGGGCAAACAACAAAAGAACATCAAGTGTCTTTATACGCCCATGTGCTCACAATTACACAAATTCTACGAGTAGAGTGCAATTTGTTCGAGTCTGCTGCGCCAGCATGCGATACGATGTTGTGAGGAGAGAAGCGGCTCATGTACAGCGGCAAGTCTTTAAAGGGGCTTTAACACTTTGTGCAGTGGTACTGCCTACGCGGATCTAACGACGTAGCCGGGGTTCGATTCCCCTATCGACGCAATTTTCGGCCGTTTCTCGGTTTCCCTCGGATGGCGCCCTGCTGAGGATGTGTTAGCATGTTGCCGCGATTTTCGTAAACTTTGTTATGACAGTACATGAAGGGCAACGCCCGCAGAATAAAAATAAAATTGAAATCTTGCATTCCACGGTAACGAAATGTTTGTAATACTACAAGTATATAATACGTATGCATTAATTAAATTTTGAGTTACAACTTACTAGTAGACACACCATATCCAAACTGACACCTATCTGCAGGCGAGTTTTTTTGCATAAGCAACCGTGACCTTCTACATTTCTTCTAAAGTTTGGCTTTTCTAATTTTTCTGACTTCCAGGACAGATAGACAACTGTTTTTGTTGAACTAGAGGACTCTCGCTGCGGTCCGGTCGATTATACACTATACAAACTTAAAAACTGATCCTCGCCATAACTCTTTGGCCGTAAAAACTTTCAGCAGATCGAGGTCAACAGTTAACCGGTACAAAAAAAGTTAAAAAACATAACGCATAAACCAGTAATTTAGCGATTGCCAGATCCTGGCAAAATTCTTCGCTGAACGAATGCTGGTCAGCCCGGTTTTAGCTTCATCACAGCGCAACTGAAGCCGTGCTTGGCCAGTGGCAGGCGGCATCCATGCAGCGCCCAGCTGTCGGCCTCTTCGTCGTACACCTCGATGCTGTCCTCTTCGACACCGACGACCATCGCTGACTCGTTATAGTCATATCCACCCAGCACATACAGCTTCCCGCCCACGCAGGCACATCCGGGACGACCGCGCTTCTTGAGGAGGTCTCCTATGATAAGAACAACACACCTGATACCCGACGGTTCATGCCGACCCACACTCGTACTGTCCAACACCTGTTGATACCAGCAACGTCTACAGCATCACCATATGAGACCCACCTTTTCTCTGCCACTGATTGGTGGTGGGGTCGTAGGATTCCACTAGCGCGCATGCTACCAATTCCTCCACATTCCCGGGAGCGACACCTACAGCTCCGCCTACACAAATGCACCCGCAACATTTAGTGTACAGACTGTGGACCCTTCCGCCATGAGCTACTCTCCCTACTACTCGTACCAGATGAACTTTAATAAGTACTTATCATAATGCGAGTACAAACTAAGTACCAAGCAAAACGACGTTATAACTTCTTAGAATCCCTTCCTCTATGCTATCCTGATCGGGGATCGTACCCATTATACAATCGCGTTTCCCCGTTGTATTTGGATAGACACTCGTACTAGTGCGTACCGACAATGTAAATTAGTCCGCTGGGCGTCACACAGGCAGCCACCCCGGCACGCGGCGTGGGCATATCGGCCAGTCGGGTCCAGGTGTCACCGGCAGGATCGTAGGCCAAGGCCAGACTGCTACCGTCGTTGCCGAAGGCATACAGCCGGCCGGCACACGCCACCGCTACCCAGTAGCCAGTACTGTGGGGCAGCGCGGAAACAGCACTCCAGGAACGGCTGAGGAAATCGTACGCTTCCACGCACGCCAACAGATCGTCCTCGTCATCACGATGGGTGCCACCGATGACATACAGGCGCCCATTGAGGACGGCCACACCGGCGGTGTTGGGATGGCGCGGTGTCGGCAGGGCGGCCACCTGGCCCCCTCGGTTCGCAGGCCAGTGAAGTGGCTGTCGCGCTGTACGGTGCGGATGTGCTCAGCGGTGGCGATGACCATCCAGCGGTCGTCCAGCATCTCTGCAACGCAGCCATCCACGGTTGCTGGCAGCGCCTTCATGGACCACGCAGCCGGGATGGAAGGGTTGATGACGTGCACCAAATCTTCGACGTTATGCGGAATATCACTGTAACCGCCAACGCATACGATCACGTCCTGCGCACCTAACACACACAAACAGAACTATCAAACATTTATACGAGAACCACAACATGCGCGCAGCGTTCAGCGTCCGCGTCGGCCAGCCAAAGGCTAGCTCTAGTAATTTACACTAAGATCACCTAACACAGTAAAATCGCTACAAACAAGGAACAACCCCTGGCTAACTAGTAGACGCCACCAATAATTCGCTCCATAGTGGACACAGAATCAGATCGTAAATACAGAACAATTACCGCATGAATGTCGTGGATGGTGTTTTGCGCTGTCCCGTCGGCCAACTGCCCGTCCTCCGCGGACTGGCCCGACGGGATCCCCACCGGCGCAACGGCCAGAAGCGCCGCGTACTCCTGTCGAGCCTCCGCGCTGAGGAACGGCGCACGGACAGCCTGCAGGACGGCGGACACATGCGGCAGTCGTTCAGGACGGTCGTGATCCAGCCAGCGCTGCACCGCCTCCCACACCTGATCCTCGCTGGACACCTCCAAGTCATCCGACGCCAACAGCTCGGCCACCTGCCAACATTGCCCAACAAACAGGTACACTGCAGCATGTTGCATTCTGTGCACCTTTGATACGGATACGATTTAGAGTGATACGAAGGGCTTACACGAGACCCCCATCAACCATGTACTATTTTTTAAGCCAAATCTGGCCACTTATTAATAATCAGCGAATTTTTCTGATCTAGGAACCATTTTTTTCAAACTGTTTTCGGAAGAAAAAATTTCTGACTGCCGGTCCCCCAGGTGCCCCACCGTTTCTGTGGGCGGTAGCAACTGAGTTGAAGACGAAATTTTTTCTGCATTCTAAATGCCGTTTCTAAGATGAATGAATAACGCTGAGCTCGAATATGATATTTTAAGAATATCTGTGGTCTGGGGATTATGGCAGGTGATGCAGTCCATAGACTGCTGGCTAAATAAGGCATCGGTATTTACACGATTATTGCATCATCCTGAACATCGGTGCGAACTTCTTCGACATGTCTGTGCCTCAAGTAATTTTTAAAACACTAAATTCCAGCCAACGTGTGACATCTGTAGAGTACTCTATTAAAAATCAATCAATCAATCATGATGACTATCACAGGGCCGTACCTGTTGCGCGTCCATCTGCAGAAAGTCCAGGCCCTGCGTCAAAGAGAGACAGTGACGACAGATCAAGTCCAGGGCTGCCGCGGCCAAATGGGGATTGTGGTGGTGGGAGGCCAACGCGTGGACGGTCAAGCAAGTGGACACGCACAGATGCTCTTCTAAATATTTCCAGCATCTGGCGGCCACCGGAGTCATCCCCAGAAACTGCGCCGCGATCAGAACAGACGTCACGTTGTCGTCGCTGAGGTTCAGGTCCATGGTGTACGCGTATCCTACCAACCTGGGCAAAACCAGCGTTATCCATAAATCAGCCAAGGAGCAAATTGAAAGTCACCAAGATACCAATTATTGCCGCGTTATCAAGTCAAAGACTGTCATGATTAATCGTGGAACCCGTTCTACACGATGCTAGAAGCTGTGGTACGCTGTCACTCACTCCTTCAACGTGCGCTGATCGATGTTGCCCAGGCGGAACACTGGTTCCGAGGATTCCTTCCAATCGTGGGTGAAAACCGCGCGAAAATAAGGACTGTGCGCGGTGAGCACGCAGCGATGACAGGGAATGCCCACCGAGGATGCGTCGCTGCCTGTCAACTTGACATCGCACAAGATCCCTGTTGACTGCAGAACACGCAGTTCGCGCAAGAGCTCCACAGTGTCAGCGGGACAATCATGAGTCAAATCAGAACTGTTCAGCTTCGACATGGTGTGCGAACTTAGGACGAAAAAACTGTTCAAAATAGGAAAACAAATCAACAGCTGAATAAAAGAGCTACTTCAAAGTTCAAACGCACTAAAATTCGAATATTAGGAGTACCTCAAAACTGTACTTCGGACCGCTGACGTGAAGATTGTAGGACTAGGCACTGATGAGATGAGTTCACGTAGCAGCCAGCCGACCGCCTAGCGTAATGAGCGCACACGCCGCACAGTAGATTTACTGTAATTGTGAGTACGACTACGTACAACTGTACAAGTAGATTAAATTTTGACATTTTGTAATTTGTACTAGTTTATAGATTTTGTCGTACTGTAGCTAGAGCTACTAAACAGCAGTCGTTTCAGTCTACTGTCACACAAAAGTTACACAAAAGACAAAAATCAGAGTTACAAAAACGCGGGCGAGCGAAGCGTGCCCGCTTGAAATCCGTTTTGACACACGTGGAGGCGAAACTAAGTGAAATTCGCCGAGGGATTATGGAACTCTCATTGCGCGACCATGGTTGCAAAGTGATTCATATTACCCAGTGACGAAACAAAATCGAATTTACTGAAAATCAAGCGTAATGAGAACACACATAATGTTGGTATTAGACAGATTAAGTTTTTCTTTCGACTGATCGCTGAACGCTGTTAAAACTCAACCCGGTTACCCGGATATCCAATGCTTTGCTAAGCGCGCAGGCCTTACCGTAACTTCGCACGGTATCGTCGTGGCTCAAATGGTCTTGCGCTAAACATCACGAATTTGGGGGAGGAACTACAAAATTAATAGGAAACAGCAGCAAAATTTAAGAGCTAGTGAAAACGTAACCTCTATATTACAGTATACGGTATCTGCGCTCACGTTACTGCCATTTGAGGCAGTGGTCGAGGATCCCGGGAGATGATACGCTTCTGCATACGCTACGTTGCGTAAACTATACGAAACGCACTTCACACACGCGACTTTCCGTAATAAGAGATTTTTCGAATCGCAATATGAATCGAGATGGTTCAGCTTCAGCCTAAAAAGTTTATGTTAATAGACGTAAATCGTAATTAACTTCTGGCTCTGTAAGCATAATAAGTTTTGAATCGCGCCATCTGTATACGCGCAGCTGGTTCAGGTCTGTTTTCGAATTGACACCAATGGCCTCATCTGTTGGATACACAAAAAACTGCACAACGAACCGAAATCCGAGAGGTAACCGCACGAACATGGCAGTTCTTATACCAGTATAGACAACATTAGCTACCCGGTAGGTATCAGCATCGGCTTATCAAAATCAAAAGGCCAACAAATGGATAGAACAGGTGGTTTACGATTAAGCCGTTGCCTGTGGCTGTAATGAAACAACCTGTGAACCGTTACAAAGCCGTTGTACCGTTCGACAGCGGAGAGTACTGACGCTTTTCGCAAACGCTATTTGTCTAGCGTGGTCACGGGACGAAATGTTGGGGGCCTTTTACGGCCCACACTCGAACTCTGACTCTGACTCAGAGCGTATTTTACGACATATTTTATAGAATCGTCTTCTTCGGCGCTTTCGCTGTCTGGCGATGACCGATCGCTGTACTTCGCTACATGACCCGACAACGCGTACCGGCATATTTTGTTTAGCTTGCGCACATCCAAATCGCTCAGTTCGTCTTCCACGTTGTCTGGCATCCACTCTCGACCTACATAATGCGCGGATGGTCACGGATCGTTCGTCTGGAATCTCTTTAAAATCTTCAAATGATGAGCAAATGTTTATTGAGCTACAGGGAAATCTTAACAGTAAACGCTATGCTATGGAATATCTAAAAGAAATTTTTATAGTACTTTGTATGCATGTACCTGCACCTATGTATCTGGACTATAGGGAAAATCAGGAAGTATCTGTATCTTGAGCAAATCATAATGGAGTCGATTGGGTTCTGCATTAACTCTGCCGTCAAATGCGCCAGTCTCCCTACATCCACCGGCTTTTCCCAGCGCAGGTGTTGCTCAAAGAATCATGCATATTCATTTCACCGAAGGCGCCAAAGCTGAAAGACAGCGAACGGAATGCGAAATTCCATAGCAGGGATAATTAGTTTACTTTTGTATGACAGTGAGAAGTCTTTCCATAAAGGACATTAACTGTGAAAACTTGGTTGGTTGTAAAAACGGTCCTCATGCTAAATGTGCGTTTTTACGCAAAATTGGGAGAAGATATGAGACGTTTGGTCTCCACAACGCAGCGAAAGCACTCTGTGTGGGATCATTTTGAAAGTACCATAAAAGTTTGCTTCACATTTTTAAAATGCTAAACTGATTTTTACAATTTTGGAAACTCACTTTAAAATTTCAAAAACATGTGAAAACCTGGTTCAGTGTAAAAGTATCTTCATGTCAAATGCCAATGTGCGTTTTCATGGAATTTTGGAATTTTTTTGGCAATCATAATTTCCCAACCAGATATTGCGCGCGCAAACGGTTCTCGCGCCAATGTATACGATTCATCCGTCTACAGAATAATTTAAAATCCAGTAAAACCTGTGGAACGTGAACACCTGCAGTTCTACTGGCTGTGACTGTGCAAAAGGCGTTTCATAAGGCGGGCTGGGCGTTCTAAGTTGAACGAGGGAACACCAACCAGAGACTATGAAGACTGACTGGACAATGAGCCGCTATGTTCAGCGTATGAAGGCTGAACAATGAGCCTGTTAAGAGATGCGACTATATCCCGAACAATGGGCCACGGTTTTGTCCGTCTACTCCTTCGCAAAGCTTGCTTGGCGCGACAGAGAGACAGCGTACATCTTTTTTTAAATCAGATCCGTTAGCAGAAAGCAACGCATTGCGGATGCGAAACCATGGATGCGGCTTGTCTCGTGCACAAAGAGCGTGACCGCATTAATCGATTCACATCCAAGCATAGTGACCCACTATCCCGATTACTTCGAGTCTTGGTCATTAAGGCTGCATCTTCTGCACTTGTTGAAACATAACAAACAGCTTTCAGGCCATGCAGTAATCTTGAGTTGTTACTGAGGAAACAGCGCCTCAAACAACGCTTTCCCATTGCCGGCGAACTTGCTAGAATGCGCTTAATCGTCAAACTGTCCGGAGTAACCAGCTGGAACACGGTGGATGTCCTCACTGACGATGGTCAGCTCCAGCTTGCACACGTCGTCGATGTCACGGCTGATGGCTTCGTCCTGGATTTCGACTGTCCCGGGCAGCATGCACAGCTTATAGAGCATCATAATATATCCAGAAAGCTTTTTCAGTGTCTGATACCTACAGGTGCAGATTCCGAGAGAATTAAGGAGCTGAAAGCAACCCTAAGCGCAGGTTCCAGCGAGCAGATTCAGGTATTAGCGCGACCATCGTCAAATCAACCGTGGACATGGTATCCGGCCAAGTTCCTCGTTCCCGGACTGTTCGGCACGAAGTGCGTGTTTATCGAGGTGCAGTGCGGCTCTGTGATTGTCCGGGACTGCTTTCCAGTCGAGGTGGTCCGCATTGTGTCGTCCAAGAAGGCCCTTCAACCAACTCACTTCATGATTGCATCATATGCTTGTAGTGAGCCGATTTCGGCGCCGCTGTGGAGTATTTGGAAAAACTACCTGGACCTCTGGCATTTTCACCCAGTGCGTCAAGTCGGAAACGCGGTTCTGTGCGTGCAAGAGCAGACTACGAGCGGCATGTGGATATACGCCGTCGGTCATGCGGTGAGTTGTAGGGTGACCGGTCACCACCTCCCTCCTCATAAAAATTTTATTTTTTGTTTGAAGACAGAACAGGTATGGACCGTATGGGGTACACTTAAAAAAATACAATTGTCGGCACTGGTCCAGTGGGCGTGGCCAGAAACAATTAAATTTAAGTGTCGCATGTATTGTCAATGTACATCGATTGTATTGGCAGTACATACGGCACCCCGATCAGTGTTACCTGTTATCACTGCATTTACAGACTAGCTTGTTGACTACCGTACTATTTCTTAATTTTTGTTTTTACAACATCCATTTTTGTAAAAATTTAACCGGTAGTAGATTTGATTTGATTACACTGCTCACCTCTTAATTATTATCTGTACTGCACCACGCGCGCGATGCTGGCAAGTACAAAGAGTTCAGAAAACTTTTACATTGTCAAGCCAGTCAGTAAAAAGTAAATTTACCGAAGAAAAAGTTCAAAACATAAGTTTTCACCAGTACGATGAACACCATTTAATAATGAGAATACGTACACGGTAAACACGTAAACTGACGGCTGGCTTGGCCATATATCTGTATAAGCGCCATATGTATTGCCAGTGCACTAACAATACATTCGGCAGTTAGATTTGTTTTTGGCCACGCCTACTGCACCATTGCCGATGAAAATATTATTTTAGGTATTCCCAATACCTACTCTGTCTTCAAGCAAAATATGAAATTTTTCTGAGGGCGGTGACCGGGCCCTGGTTAGTATTATTCGAAAAAGCGTTGTTTTTAACATAAAAAAATTAAGTCAAGTCAAAATTAGCATAAGACTGGAATTTTCTTGCTGTTCTGTTCTAAAATTTCTTGCTTGTTCAGCTAACGATAATAATGTAGCTACTTTACTGTTTCGGGTCGAGGGGTTGCGTCTTGTGTTTTTTTTACTGCAAGGAAATGCAATATTCTGGCAAGGTGCGTGGCCAGCGCACTGCAAATAACAGAGACTCCGCACGAGTAATTCTCGTGAAATCCGCAAACAGAGTTTTTGAAAACAAATGTCGATCGAACACTCTAAAACCTTATCTGATTTAGTTTTGTTTCTGAAAAAGCAATGTGTTAGCTACAATTAGAAGTCAAATCTGCATTTTTTTTATTCACCCTGTCATGCAGCCAAAACTGTTAACCAAAATATCCGAAAATCCAGATAAAACATGGCATTTTTTGAAAACGTCACATTGTGTCATGACTGCATAACTCGTTTAGTGTATGCAGCATGTCCACAACTATTTTCTGTTGAAAATAAATGTATTTCGCTAGATGAAACAGTTGAAAATATTTAAAATGTCTGTAAGGGGAACAAATGGCACGAGATTTTATATTTCGTGAACTGGGATACGAAAACTTTACACTTCGTTTCATTTGGCACCTTTGCAAACGTAGATGGCTTAATTCTTTCAAAAGCCTTTTATTCATTTTGTATTTAAAATTAATCGAATGAGTCTAAACATTTATCGAATGAGTCGAATGGGTCACGGTGCGATAAAGCATCTGCGAGAAACAAATCAAAACAAGAGACGACCATTTTGTCAGCCACCCGGTATCCCTGAACGCGTCAGTGCGAGTTGAATTTGTTCGTAAAAGGTACATTGCTTAGTTAAACCAGTGTTTAGTTCGTGCTTAGTACTTACTTAATTCATTGCTTAGTTAATTGCTTACTTCGTACATTGCTTAGTTAAATTTTCATGATATTGAGCACCGGAAAGAATGTCATAGCCGTGTTGTCGTTATTCGTTCGTTTTTTCTTCATTCGGTATACGTGTACAGTAGATGCAATGTAATACGTAACTTCGCACAACTTTTTTCGGTTCTTGTGTTTGCCACAACAGGAAATCCTCGCACTCCTAGCAGAAGCCCAGTGCGATATGGAGAAGCTCGTTAAGTCAGGGTGGACATTTAACGGCTCTGCGTGGCTTCCCCCGAAGCTGGCACCCTGCTCTGGATGCGTCGAATGGGAGCCGGTCGATCCAAACGCAGGCCTATTCCCCTTGCCGGTAGAAATATTCGGCGCAGTGTTCCAGTATTTAGATAGTATTCACCTAGTGCAATGTCGTCGCACATGTATGCTGTGGAATATTGTGCTCACTCAACCGCAGTGCTCCCAAGAAGTGTGGGTGTCCTTTTTACCAAAATCCACAGCATCAAACAGGCGCGTAACTGTCAGGGTTGCCCGGAGTTTGTGGAATGGCGTCGCCAGCTCGACATAATGTAGCTATTACTGTTTCGGGTCAGGTTACGACTACGAGGAGAACAGCGACGTGGTAGACTGCCTGCGATTTATCCACGCTCACCGAGAAGTACTGCAGCCGATGCCGGGACGGAAGGTGATGGTGGTATTTGACAGTTTGTTTCTGGGAACAATTGTAGCTACAATTAGAAGTCAAATCTGCATTGTTTTAGTCCCGTGTCATGCAGCCACTGTTAATACTGCTTTCGATCAACGGTTGGCACCAGATAATACCCTGGGAGCAGATAATTTCGTGTGGTTTGTTTTCGTGGTTTGTTTTCGCCGAAACAGTTGAAAATATTTATGTTGTACGATCCTCGGAGCTTAACTGTGTGGGTACAAGAAATTGCCATCGATGAGATTGTTGTTGAAGATGAATCCAAAAGCCAGATTCACGCGGTATTTAAAGTTAATCGAAGAGTCAAACATTATCGAATGAGTCGAATGGGTCACGTCGATACGAATGTGCGAGAAAAAACAAAACAAGAGACGAATTTTGTAGCCGGTATCACTGAATAGTATGTTAATTTGTTGTAAAATACATTGTAGTTCAGTGTTTAGTTCGTGCTTAGTACTTACTTAATTCAGTGCTTAGTTAATTTTACTTGCATTGCGAGTTAAATTTTCAGATATTGAGCACGGAGAATTTAGCCGTGTTGTCGTTATCGTTCATCTTCATCGAAATGCCCGCAGTAATGGGTAATCGTAATTCGCAAACTTTTTCGGTTCTTGTGTTTGCACTAAAGGAAATCCTGACTCTACAGAAATGCGTTGTACTTTCTTTTTGTTTTTTGTAATAATTATGTCTATGTTATTGTGCCTCGTTGCTGCGCTGTACCTTTCTGACATCCAAGTACTCACATCAGAAATATTCACGTTCATATTTAGATTATTCATAGTGATGTCGTCGCCGTATATGTAATTATGCTCACTCTCTTCTCCCAAAAATTGTGTCTTCCGTTTACAAAACACACTCACACGCAACTGTCGGTAGCCCGGCTTTCTTCTTGCACCACAAATAAACCTTTCAGACTGATTTTAATAGTCCGTAAACTCGGTGCGAAATCCCAGCTTTGCACAGTGACAGGTGTAATCTCGTTGCACATAATCACAAAGAAAATATAATTATAACATACTGAAAAACAGAAAACGGAATAATCAACTTCTTAGAAAAGGAAAATAAACCTTGTACAGCTCGCGCCGCGTTAAAACACCTTCATATATAGTCAATGAACATTAGAGTGCTTCCATGGAATTCCGAATTACACAGGAAAGTACGAGTGAGAGAATTATACACGTTAGCACGGGGATACGGGAATGCACAGGGGGCGCCACGTGCGGACGACGCAGGCGCCCGGTTTCTACACGGAATCCACCACGGCCATGTCGGCCATATGATCCAGGCCGCCCAGACTGCCCGGCACCGTGGACGGCGGCGAGGCCGACAGGAAATGGCCGGCCTCCTTCTGACGTTTCTTCTGCTTCATACGCCGGTTCTGGAACCTGTTACGATACACTCCGTTAGAACACAGTGCGACTTGTTGAAATTTATTGCAGTAGTCGATATACGAATGATAAATCTCGTTTACAATTCGGTTCGATAAGGTTTAGATTTCTTGCGATATTCCGTAGAGAATGATATATGTTGTTTATATAAGATTTCCGGATTCTGGGTTTTATCAAGATGTACAAACGGTCTCGCCACACAAGATGAATGGAATATAAAAGCGTGCTGGTGATTTTATAATGAGAGTGCGACATGGATTTATGAATGAGTGCATGGGTGGTAGAGAATATTGTAAACTCGTTTTGATATCGGTTTCCATCAGATTTATGCTGCTCGTCGCTTAATGAAGTTATGAGTCAGCGATTAACTGCTGACAATATTGTGCTCGTACGCAGCAACGAATGGGCATAATATAAATAAATCCAATATTCGAATGGTTACTTCAGTTTTTACTCATTTTTATGCCCTTAAAAATTAATAAAGGTTATTTTAATTTAATTTTTTAGAATTACTATTTATTAGAATGAACGAAAAATGTATTTACTTATCGAAAGTTATTGGTGTTTGTTTTGACAACTATATTAGTGTGTAAAAGTTTAATCTAATAAAATTTTAACGTAGGAAACCTTCTGAAAAAGTTATTCGTATTGCAGAAAGGAGCTTTCTAAGCTTACCTGTTTACTATTTATTTGTTAATTATTTTGGCAGATTGACAGTTTTAATAATTAGGATTTTAATGTAGAAAAACTTTTTTTTGAATAAATGCCTGGATGTATCGTTAAAATGTCAAAATGTTCCAAAATAAAACGAATAAACTGCTCTTTTTTAGGTTAGTTTCTGCAAGTCAAGAGTAAATGGGGCGTTTAATGGTGGCGCTGCGGCGTTCTCAGGATTACGTCTTACAGTGCTAGAGTTCTTACCATATCTTGACTTGGGTCTCGTTTAATCCGAGCTGGTTAGCGATCTCGATGCGTTTGGCACGCGTGAGATACTTGTTGTACTGGAACTCTTTCTCCAGCTCCGTTAGCTGTTTGATGGTGAAATTGGTCCTTCCGGTGCCGTTAGACAGGATCTGGATGTTCTTGTTAATGGGCATGCCGGCCGGGGGCGGGACGCCGGCATCCGGCGGCAGGGCTACGACGGGACTGTGCTGCAGGGCGCCCACTTCCTGCTTCAGCTCGCCGGCCTTAATGGCGCCGTTTCCTTTAATACTGCCCAGGCCATTTCCGCCGCCACCGCCCGGGTAACCGGCCACTAGAGTGGGCAACAAAACAACAAGCATAAGTTAGTGAAAATCTCGGGAATTACTTCTTTTATATGAAAGGTCACCAAGGGCTCCATTAAAATGGAGAAGTGTGCTGTACAGAGTAGATAGAAAACAACTAAGAAACAAATTATTGTATCTGTTTGTATATATATGTACATTAAAGGATAAAAATCAGAATGTCGCATTTTTCACTGCCAGTATAGTTTCAATTTGTTAGCAACTATCTGTAGTAACTATTATGACAACTGGCTCAGTACTTTATTACGAGGTACCAAGCTTTATTAACTGAATTAGCTCAAGCGCAGATCATTCTGAATCCTTAAAAAATTTTAACATTTCTAATCGTAATTATTTGATCTTTGGCAATCACAAGACGATTGAAATATGGACGATTATAAGACCGAACCTAATGCGGGCTTCAGGCATGTAAAGTCAAGTACGCATTAACTAAGTTACTGTGAAAATAAATCAAAGATAACTTGATCAGAATAATAGTGTCTTTTACAGCATGTTCCCCCATCAATCACGTTAACAATTTAATATGTAAATAATGTAATTCATGACATTTATTAAAACAATTTAAAGAAGATACAGCAGTTAGTCGTTAAATTGTCATCCATGAAAAATCGGTTATTTATTCGCAAGTAATTATTTTCAGTCAATATCCATATTTTTCTTAGTAGCTACGGTGTGTTGTTGACGGTACTCGTAAACGTGCTTTAGGACATTTTATGTGCCGGTTAATTGATTTTGCTGGCTGTACAGATGACGAAAACGCTGAAATGGACAGGAAAAACAGTGTGCGTGCTGTCTAACTGCCTCTCGCTACTCTACGAGTAGAGAGAGAATTGCCAGTGAAAACGTCGATTGGCGCTGCAGCTGATGTCTTTGGGAAAAGAATGTCACATTGGCCGTATTTGTTTAGCTTAAGGGCCACTTAATGTTATTTCCTGCTGTGCTACTGTTCTGATGGGCCATTAATCATTCGCCTCGGCATTCCAACACCATCGACCGTTTCTCACCACACAGATATACAATTTAAACACACAAAATGGCATATGTATCCAATGTCGAAAGCGGAGAAACAACTTATTGATCACCCGCATAACGCTGCAGCAACTGTTATTGCACCGGACTATGACAAAAATATTACCATCAAAATGCAAATAAATTTTTTACGAAGCATCGTTTTTAAGCTTCATAATGGTTAGACTGTAATTTTATGAATACAAAATCTCTGTGTTTCGAGGTATACTTATGGTTAGCAGGATTTTCTCCAAACCGTGAAAAAACCACGCCAACCGGTTTACCAAATATGTAAAATGCATGTCAGTAACTTTTTCATTATTTTTTGCTAATTATTTTTAGAAAGTTCCGTACGATGTCGGAAAGGTCACGCAGCCGAAAAAACTTCTGTCGAAAAAAACGGTGCATTTCTAATGTTTTGGTCTAAGAAAAAACCGGCTGTTGTATCAGCAGAAGGTCATGAAAACAGCCGCTTATCGCACCTAATGACAATTTAACGACACTTTAATACGCGTTGCTAATTGCTCTCCCCATCACACAACACACCGGCCGATATACTTCGCTACATGAAATTCCGTTGAACTACTCAGATAAGCATCGAAAAGCACACTCTACTCCGTCTCTCGGCTTCTTACCTTTGGTTGCGCCGCGTTTGACCTGCATCCATTTGTAGGTCGGGGCCTTTTTCGTCGGCTGATTATGCGGCGACAACTGCTGCTGTTGTTGCTGCTGCGGAGGCGGGGCTTGCTGCATGGACTGCAGCTGACTGTAGTCCACCGGCTCGGTGCCCCCGCCGTCCTCGTACCCGCCCATCTCCAGCTCCGGACTGTGCTTGCCGTACAGCACCGGCGGGACGGCGCCGACGTCGTACATATACTGATAAGTGCGAGATCGCTCGGGAGTATTGGAGGCGGTGTTGGTGGAATAGACGACGTTGGCCGCCGTCGGGGCGTTGGTGTGGTGGAGATAAGGGTCATGGTATTTGGGATGGTGGGGATGCGGCAGGGGAGGGTTCGTGAAGGGGTAGGCCAGGGGCTGGGTGTGCGGGTAGTGGCGTACCGGGGGCGGTTGGGCGGCGTGGTGTGCCGGGTAGTCGTTGCCCTGAATTCGCAAAATACCCTCAAAATTTCATCCTTCTTAAGTAACGGAACGTTACGAGAGATAGCGTGGTAATAATAGTTTAGCGGGAAAGCTAAGCGTAATGCTGTCGAACAACAAGGAATTGCTAATTAAGGTATTGCAGATCTGGACCAGGAGCTAACTTGGAGGCTTTCGTTATAGTCCCACGAACTACATTATATCGTGTGCACTTATGAAAACAATATATTGTACGTTTGTACTGATATTATAAAATTATCGCTACAAAATAGGATTGCCGAATTTTTAACCCTTTCCATCAGGCCGATGGAAAAATTACATGTACTGACCAAACTTTTCTGTTTTTGCATGCGCATTATTTAGAAAGGATTTTTTTAAGCTTTTAAATTACTAACCATAAATTCCAGAAAATGCTTAGATAGTGATAGATATTGAAATGACACATAATATGTAAACTATGATATATTTACTCAAATACAGAAAATGATTTGTGCCTGACCTTATATTTTTGTGCGCTTAAATGCGCTACGATGCTTGCATTTTTATTAGACAAATACCGGCAATAAATAACGCATACAGCAAATGAACATAACGTCGGATGCAAACTTAATAGATGTCTAGAAGTAGCGAAATATGTTCCTGTACTGTGTAAACAGCGCCATTCAACGATATACGCGAACTGTGGATGTGCTTATTTATGACCGGCAGTTAACGTTACCTTGCAGTGCAACCTACTCATTATTATGAGCGGAAACCATGAGGCATTTGCTAAATATGATCGATCTACCAGCGATAACGTGTAATTACCAAATCAAAATCCAATAGGAATATTTCGAAGCACGGAAATTTTGCAAACATCGAAGCGACTTTTTAAGAAATAGTTACTGGAGATTGTAATGTCACAGAGTGACTGTTATGGTTGGATACATCGAATCCATCTACAAGTGCAGTAATTTTGGCATTCAATTAACTAGATCAAGCTACTCGTACAAAAAATATCAATATGAATTACTCCCATCGTATGCGTTTTTCCAGACGTATGCTTTTCGATAGCAGAATTAGAATAAAACTTAGAATACATTATTTCGAATAAGTTACAAGCCACAGTATCTATGTAGCAAGGAAATTATCGCTGAAGGTCAGCCGACACTTGTAAATTTCTCGAGCTTTAGGGGCTTGACGTTGCACTTGAGAGAAAAGTAAAAATTCAGGCAAAATTCAAGGTTATGTACACAATATTTCGCATAGTTTTCGGCAATTTAAAACCTTTCTACGTGGCTATCGCAAAAATTTAAAACTTGAAAAAGGTGTTTACCAGATATATGATCACATAGTTAGAGGACAGTAACTGAGAAGTGAATTCTAGAATAGATAATTATATAAATACATAATTAATTTTCATATAAATTTTGTTGAATGAATATTACATCAAGTAACGCTTTAGTTACTTACGCGTTACATTCGGTATCATATATACTAGCATTACGTACGGTATTATAATATATATTTAGCGTGCGTATTCCGAATCGTACCTGGAATGGGACGTTGTTATCCGCGTAGGGATAGATCATATTCCCGGTGTGTCCGCCACCGTCCGGCAGCAGCTCATAACTCCACGCGGTGTTATGGGGCGCCCCTAGGGGTGGAGAAGGAAAATCAGGAGTAGTGCCGGCAGCCTGACAGGAATAATAGGGCATCGACGCAACCGGGAGATAGGCTGACTCGGGGGGACTGTAATAGGCGTGCGAGGGGGGAGGCAGTAAATCCGTATAGTTACCCGCCTGCTGCTGCTGTTGCTGTTGCACGGCCGATTGATTGCACACTATACTGTTGCTGCTGTTGTTCTCATCGCACTGATACCGGCTATGCGGGACGGCTTTGCCGGCTGCTTGCTGCTTCACCTTAGCGGCCGTCTTCGGTTGGCCCGCGGCGGTGGGCCGGCCATTGACGGCCGGATGGAAACCGCTGGTGCCGGTGTAGGTGGCGGGCGGCGGTGAGGTGGTGTTGCGCTTGGTGAGGACCGGCAGATCCTTACTGTCGAAGGGGGGACTGCTGTAGGGCGGGGCCGGGGCGGGGTAACCTGTACAGGGTCATCAACGGGGGATTATCGGTGGTTAAACGGCGGCATTCATCAAGGCCTGCCAGCGTATGTTTTACAACAACTCACAACAAGATTAGCGCGTTTACTTAACAGTTTAGGTACCGGTTACTGTTAGATATCACGGCACACTTCACAATTAAAATTAAATTTATTTTAACGTGGCGCACAAATGGTCGTTGATCGAGGCGCTTAGAAATCACATTATTTTCCGGGCGCACAGCTAAATTCTAAGAGCCCGGAGAATCGGGGTACACAGTCCAAACATTCTGCGCCGCGTTTGCCGGAGAGCACACAGATTTACCTTACTCGTAATATACTGTCTTTAAATCATAATTTCGTTCTGGTAGTCTAAAAGATTTATTTTTTAAATTAGTTTGTAATTTTTAAGTTGTATTGTAGTAACTATTTTTTGAACCGCTGTGTAAAGGTCATTAGGGAATTCAACGATTTTTCTTTCATGTCGTTAATGTGACAATCATACTAATTGCCATATCTTGCTTTATATGACAGCATCATTAGCGACAACCAGCCATAATTCACCGCGCGCATTACCCGAGAAGCGGGCCAATCTAAATAATTCCTTCAGTGCTCATTTATTGACGACAGACAAATACACCCCATCACCCAGTGATCTACATACAGTTAGTTCTCCACTAATTGGCCATGTTTGCCGATCTGTCGTCAGCATGGACAATGCCACCGTTAACAAATACAGCCATCTATCACTGGCACTAACACAGCGTAGTACTTGTAACGCATATATCGTTTCTATCGGTTCCGACACGGAATTGTTCAATTAATGCGCCGCGGCTACTTAGGCAGTCCATTAGCGTTGGAGAATGTTACTTGTCGCTAGTTTACCGGGGGACTGGATTGATCGGCTCACTAACAACACAGACTGATGATCGTCGGTGTTCGCATACTGAAGTACACAAACAGAGTATTATACTCAGTTTGTGTGTTATCTGTTTCGTTGGCTCGGTTGGAGCACCAGCTGCCAGCGGCGCAACCGATTTAAAATTTTGACGTTCACGAGCATTAAAAACGAACACGTTGCCGCTGTAATATTACAGTGTGTTGAATGATCAGAATGAAGGCACTCAACCTAAACGATTTCCTTCAAAACCTTGCAGAAATAAAATTTATGGCAGTATTCAGTTGTCTAACACTAATTAAAATCTTAATAACTGGAACGCGATGAATAATTAGCATGCCAAAAACAGGCAAGCCGCTTCACTTAGAGAAATTATGTAACGAAATCACTCTGTTTAGCTGAACAATTTTCTTCATTTGATTATGAATTTGACAATTCACTGAATTCAAATTAACCATAAATGAGTTATTTGATTAAAATGTGTTTGTAAAAATATTTAATTTTTAAACTAATCTTTAGAAAATCTGTGTTACATATTATTAGCTACATTATGTGCAACACATGTAACTTACAACCTACGTGCAGTGTTGAGGATATCGGGAGCGATCAATAACAGATAAATAGCATGATTAACACAAACTAGATGAAAAGCGGTTGCAAACTAATAATGATGGATGGGACAATCTACACCGACATTCAACCAACATACAGAAATGCAGACGATACAGAAATCTCCTAATCCCGTCTCCCCTTACAATCTAAGCAGCAAATTAATTATTAACCATTCCCGCGTGGTTGTATCCAAACGCTAGCAATGTCCGCGTGGTGGGCAGTGCGGCGCACGGCCGCCGCTGTATCGCATTACACCCGCCAAGTGGGATTACGGCGCCTCAACGACCGGTCAAGTAGTCACCCTGTCTCTCTGTCTCGCGCTCACTTCATTACAGCTCCAGCTGGAATATTTATGATCCCCTGGCTAAATGAAGACAACTCCTTTTTATTGATTACTCACCAACTAAATCATTAACACACTTTTTATGGACTGTTCACCTAATCAACCGGCGATTTGTTAGCCGTTTAAATACAACGGCCGTTAATTAGCCCATCAACTCTTCTGTCAATGGGATTGATAATGTGTCGTAAATCGTGGCGCGCGTTATTAGACGCTCAAGTACGGGATATGTTGCTGCTGTTACACGCGGAATTAATGGCGCGGAATGAAAAGGAAATTACCGGCAACAACTCTCCGTTTCCGTTTACATGCCAGCGTGTTACACAGCTTCGTATGATGCGATGGCTGGATTTTACAGTGCGATGAATAATTCATTATGCATGCGCGTCGGGTTTTGAAGGAGACCTTACACAAACAGTCTCATGTTTGATGAGTTTGTTAGGAATTAATTGGCGTATGCGCTGCATCAAATGCGGCCGGCCTTTGGCAGTGGTGTGCCGAATGCCGCGGTGTGTGTTGTGCATACCATGTCAAATTCTGCCGAGGTCACCAGCGGACGGTCCACACAATGTGGAAAAATATCAAATATTTTTTCACCAAACAATGATCCTAGTGCCTACCATTGATATTTTAAAGAATTTTTTAAAATTCAGTTTAATGCGCAATGATTTCCCCAGTAAAATCGACAGATGAATCAACATTGTACAGCTCTTACTCGCTCACTACGTATGTATTGTACATTGCAGGCCTGACAGATTACATAAAATTGCGAATCGAAATGAATATTTTACGTGATCACGTCACGTACAATACTCGCAATATGTATTTTAATTCAAGTCAGCTAATTGCTTAACGAAAATTATTACGTAAACGCGTGCGTCGAAAAACGCTGTAGTATAAACTAACATGTTATGTAATGACCAAAATCTCGAGTATAATTATCCATCAGCGACATATATCGGCAAATTTAGGCCAACCAAAAGCAGCTTCAGACTAGGTTTTTCCACCACACAAAAATTTCTGACACGACGCATTCCTGCGCGTCAAACCAGCCAGCCACAAAAATGTCAAGACCAAACTGTACCGCGTCGATGCGACATCGCTACGAGGCAGGTGTTCTTCACCGTTCTCATGTCAAAATCACTAACCGCTCACAGCAGCATCGATTATAAAAAACTTTTTCGCCGCTTATCGGCATTTAATTTTAATGATTAATAGATTTAAATTAGTGATGGATAATCCATAAATCCTTACCGTTATCAATGTGGGTACAGTGTGGACCGGCCGACTGCTGGCTGTCAGGGAAGACGATCCCGGATGGCGGAAGATGATGGAGGACCGAGGTCGGCGTGACCGTGTAAAAAGGTACCGTACATTGCGATTGCGATGGTGGTGGTGATGATAAATCCGCATCTATTTTGTTAAAGCTCGGCGTATGGGGAGCATAGAGTCCAAGAGGACTAGACGAGGAAGACTGTACTGCCGCACTGGTCGTGGTGCTCAGTGACGGACTAGTCAGATTATTAGTTGCTGCCATCATCATCATTAATTTCGCATCTATCATCATCAAGCTGCCATGGCCACGATAGCGGCCCGCGTCGACACTGTAACTGCCGAAGCATCCACTCTCTCATACACACATTCGTTCCCGCTTCCTTGCACACCTTGTTCTCAGCCTTGTCTTTAGCAAAATTACCCAGGGATTATGGGAAAAACAAAGGGGGAATATTTTTATTCCGCTATTCAGGAAAACCGGGGTTTTCTAAACGGGTGAAGTTATGTGCTGTGTGTGTTACGACGGGAGAGACAAGACGGGATAGAGAGAGAGCAGACAGACACCGCGACAGAGAAAAAGCAATAATTCATTTTTCTGATAGGCAATAAATCACAAGTTGCCTGTCCCGTAGATTGGCATATAATTTATCACCATCGCTAAGCAGCGTCCATTGCGCCGTGTACAGCCCTGCTGACAGCTGTGTAGACTTGGCTCCGCCTCCGTCCCTGTCAGCGGCCGCTCCGCGTCCTGATTGGTCGGTGTGCGGATTTAAAGCCGCGCCCCTTCATCGGCTTGTAGTTTTGACAGCTCTCAAGGCTTGTCAAAAGTTGCCGGCGCGAACAAAGGCCCAGTTTGTGAGGGAGGCAGAGAGACAGCGATACGAGCGAGAGAGAGACGCGCTGGTTGTGTGGAGGGGATATTTTGACTAAAATAATATTTAATTTACGAATCAAGCTGAGCTGCACGTTTGCACTGTGCGTGTTTGTTTGATGGATTTGAATGTGAGCGCTGTGTATTATGGTGTGTACGGGGGGAGGGCGCGCGTCCTTGGGGCAGTGCGGAGAGAACACGGCGCGAAAGCTGGTTTGGTGAAGTTTGTTTGCTGCGCGCTTTACACCGACGGCCGGCAATGTTGTTCCCACGGCCAAACTATTTCGGTGTGGAATTATTTTTATGCGACAATTATTTCAGAGATTTGTGCTACCATTTGCGAACTACATGTATCTGTATATTGAATTACTTTGTTTTGTAAATAACTTTGGTTTTCATTTATTCATTGCAAAATAAGTTTGTAGATTGAAAATTTTAATTTGCGGGATTAGAAACTAAATTTTATTTTTTGTAAATTTCTCTGAAGCAAAATTTTCATAATGTAATTTTTAATGAGATGAAAGAGAAGAGTAAGTTGCGTGCTTGTAATTTCTATAAGATAAATTAGTGCTTACATGGATAAAATAACCCATTTGCCTTTTAATTAAGATAAAATCAAAAAGGAATTTAAAAAGATTGTAATTAGATTCAACAGAAAAATAAAATAACAAATAATATTTAATATATGTATACTGAATATACAAGATATACATAAAATATTCCAGTAAGTGGGAATTACAGCGCCGCTAAAATTTTAAAATATGGTTGCTGCTTGTAATGCTTAAGAGCATGCATATCTATTCAGCTACGCTTTTCCACGAACGAATGTAGAACACGATTATTTGCCCAACAAATTTCGTAATATGACCGAGCAGAATTTTCGTTTTATAACCTTTTGACAAAACAGACTTCAATAAAAACTATTAAGAACCATTCATGAGCACCCTTTTCCAACCGACACCGATCGGCGCCACTTCACACAATCCCCAATGAAAAACACCAGCGATCAGCGGGAAGTGGCTGTATAAATGGCTACAATGGCAAATGCAAGTGCGGCAATTGCTGCGTGCTGCTGCTGGTGGGCTGTATTCATGGCTGTGTTGTTGCAGGTTGTTTGTCGAGCAATCTGCCCAATCGTCGTGGCCCGGGCCCTGCCGTGTCGACTGGCACTTCAATGGCCCTTGTAAGGAAGATGGATGAGCCTGCCATACACCGCCCGACCCGGCATCCCGCGAAGCGTCCCATTTCCTCTCCCAGCGATTGCGCAAACACACACACTCATTCTGCGATATATGCGAAGTGCAGCGCGTGGGGCAGCCGGGAAACGGGGACACGTTCGAGCGCACGGCGGTGGCAGTAAAATAATTATAAACCGAAAACATACTGTGCTTCGTAATAGTTCTCACCGGGTTTATTCCCTTTAGATTCCTGGCTGGTTTTGCCCAGAATTTTTTACATTTGTTTCGTCTTTTGCTACCTATTAGCAGAATTCGTACAATTAAATCGTCAGTTCTCTCTTGTTTTTCATCTTTGCCCGATTTATTTTGTAACTTAATAACATGTACCGGTAAACTGTGATTTGTTTATACAATGTAAATATAGAACACCTTTGCAATCAGTCGGTCGGTTTGCGGCTCGAAAATTTCTTAATAAAATCAACAAACAGTGTGTAAGAGAATCGGTTATCTAATGCGCACAAATCGATAGCACTGATTGGTAACAGAGAAACTCTTGGTGGCGCAACGTACATTGCACCTGAAGTGTCTGGTTTTCTAGTCCGGCTTTCTTTTTCTCAAGGAAAACACAAGGAAACTGAACCATCTACGGTTACAGCGACGCTGATAAGGCAATAGATTACAAATGACCAGGCCGAAAATAGCCGGCACTGAAGCGTAACCAATCCCAGTTGTGCGCACCGGGATCAAACTGTTGTGACATGCCGGTTGCATGCCCAGTGTCCAGTGCATGTACACGGTGTCGCCTTTCGGCCCCCCGATTCCGTAACATGAGCACACGTGGCCGCGTGCGGCTGCCGGGCTTTGTGGCCGTGCATGACCCCCCGACGGGACCACAATGCCCGGCAGGGGGCGCCTACACACACACCGATACCGTGGCCCATGAGAAAGACTTTCTCCCGCTGCGACTGCATTCCAATGAAGCGGCGTGTTCGCTCTTTGTTCATTACCCAGCGGAAACTAACCGCCAACGCAAGTAAACCGATATACTGGACAATGGATGTTGCTTATTAAATCAAAACAGTCACTGAATTATCTCCGCGATCGAAGATCGTGGAAACAAAAGGAGCGAGCGCAGCGTACAACATCCGATAAGATCTTTAATTACATATGTATTACATGCTGAAAACGATAATTACAGAAAATCGGCGGCATGATAAATTCATCATCAAAGTATTTCCACTTTTTTTCGTGGCTGGGGAAGATTTATTGAACATCGAGTTTCTCAGGCAACAGAAAGAAGTTAGAGAGAAGAAAATAATTTAATAATGTTATTTTGGACGCGTATTAAATAATTCAAGATTTGATCAAAACATTAATTAAGAAAGCGTAAATAAAATTGAAATAAAATAATCGTTCGTCGTTAATCTTGGAAATTAACGAAATGATAGCATTAAGAATTTAAGAAAAAAGATAACCAAGCTAATAACATCAATATGTATTATTATGTACAAGAGGTATACGATGAAATCAAAGCCTTCACGGATTGGAGAAAACTGGTTCCCAAGAATGTATTTCGTGGGAACGCTTTTCATACTCTGCTTTATCTGCCGCAGCACTCATCCAGCAACATGATTCTGTACAAAAAACGTTATCCAAATGACAAGCCTCAAGTTGATTCAATGCCAAACTTTTCTTCCAACACACGAAGACAGAAAAAGCCGACTGAAGAAAAGCAGACGCACATGACAGCGCATGCATGCAGCGCAGCGGCTGACGCGAAGTCTCTTCCGTTCAGCATCAGCCGTACAGTCATACACAAGCGCCGAATGTGAAGCACTGGCCGAGCGACGGATGATGGATCGCTGGTGTCGTCTTCGTGCTGGCCGTGCCCCATTCAAGCCGCTCACTCACACGTCATCCAGCGCCCATACTCTGCTTTTTGCTACACTGTTGTTTCCTGCCAGTGTCTTTCTGCTTATGGATGCATGTCAGCGTGTATATATATTCCGTGCCTATCCCCTTTTGTACATTATCCCGGTGCAGACAGGCGCAACGCTGAATGCAGCGGGGATGATTGTATTAATCTTCCAGCTCACAGGCTGTATTTAATAAGTCGATGAATATTGATGAGCATGTAAGGCACTAACCCTGATATACATGCGTGTATACTGTACATGATCGTCGCCTGACTGACAGTCGTGTTTCTTCGTTTTCCTGTTTGACTGCGGAGAGAAAAGATAGGAGGGGAGGAGGATATTGTTGGTGCTCGGTGAGCGGGTCTGCGATGCATACAAATAACCGAATGCATTTTAATGCGGCCACGCTTTAAAGAATTCCCCGGGCTTTGTCTAACATTGTTCAGTCGCTTGTACGATTTGCTTCTGCTTCGTGAGTTTTCTCCTTTATCGGAATAATACAATTACCGATAGATTATTATCTTTTGAAGACTTCTTCCAGAAAGAAGATGTATATGTTTAGAAAATTAAAATATAACTCGGCACCGCGGCAACGAAGAAATCATTTATTGAAAAACAACTAAGTAATATTCGTACAATCCAATTTTTTTATTAATAATTATTATTTCTTGTCATTTATTTATTTTTTTAAATTTTTATATTTGTAAAGTTTTTTAAAATTATATTTTATATGTTTTTTTATTTATTTTTGAATATTTATGTTTGCTATTCACGTGTTCATAATACGGTTTTTAATCCGTTATTTATTTATAGAACGTACTCTAAAAGATTTGCAATTTGTATACAATTTTAAGCAAAAAAAAAATAAAATTACAGGCTGGATAAGGCGACGGGAAAGGTCAGCGGATAATGATGATGGCGCAACGATAAGCATCGTAACGTACTGGCAGCGGCAAACGCGAGAGATGCAGGCAATTTCAGGCGGATATCATGGCATCGCGGACGTTGCAGCCGGCCGCAGGCGACACTGTCCATCTGTGCGATGGATGCCGGCCGATAAGCCGCAGTGTGTGCCAAACTGGAAATGGACGCGGTGTCGGCGCGGTGATTGCGGCGTAAAATGTGCCTACTGCCTAGTACAGGCGCATGGACCCACCGGTGAGCTGCGTTTAAACTGACAAAATTACACCAGTTAGGACCGGCAATGGAATGCCCCCAGTGTAATGGATGCCCCCGTGTTTAATGAATCCAATGTCAGCCAGACACGGCAACGGCAACGCCCAGCGGGAATTATATTTACCATTTGGGGATAAATTGCACGGCCTGTATGGCGGCGAATTGTACACAAATCAATTATGGCTATCTAGCAATTATAATTTTATTTTTTCCTGGAATATTTTTGTGGTGCTTGAGTAAGATCCAACATGCAAAAGTAAACTGGAAAGATTCTAACCGAAATGTGTCGAAAATAATGCATACAAATATTTTGAACTTAAAAAAAAATAAAAAACACTCACCAAAAAATGCACCTTCTCAAACTGTTACGTTATTTCTATAACAGTTAAAATGTTAGTTTTATTATATTATTAATAAATTTTTATGCATAATAATAACAACCATAATTGTTTTCCTGAATAAAATTCACTGGATTAAAATAC